AGAATTATGGACCCAGAATAAAAAACCTTCATATGTTTTTATTATGTGCATTAAACACACACTGAAAGCTTATGGTGCAGGTTTTTAAGCTAAAATAACAATAAAAATAAAGCCAAATTTTCAGGAAAAAAAGGAAAAAATTAGTGTGCCTAGAATTCATACATTCTAGGCACTTTATGTTGTAGTCTACTGAATTAAGGGCTACAATTATCCAAACTGTAGAACATTGGGTAACAGCACTCTATTTCCATGTTCTGCCCCTTAGTAAGTAAGTTGCCCTAGTGATGAACCGCTAAACTGTGGGTAGCAGGTCCTCTGTAGCCTTAGCTTAATGCAATGATGTAACTGAATATAACCTACAGAAATGGATTAATATGAAATTAGTGCAGAATAAAGATAACACAGCATGAGTAATGTTAGTAAAATTGACATGGATATTTACCTTTGGATGATGAACTATAAGTCTCTTGTTCTTCAATGAATAAAATGCACGGAATGATGGGAATAAAAAAAGAAATCAGCAATTTAAAGTTAGACAAAATGGTGTTATACATGAGAATGAAAAACACTACAGGCTCTGTTGCAACATGCAGAAAATTAATGTGGGGAAACAGATGAAAATAAATCATGACAAGTTATAAATTCTGAGGTCGATACAAAGGTAAACATGCTCAAGCTCACTGAAATTAATTGTCTTCAGTATTTTTAATGCTGAATCATGGCCTGGAATATGAATTTTACAAGTTCTGAAGTTCAAAGCTGCATTTGATGTGATGAGCCTATAAGAATTGCTGTTTCAAATGTTTATGAATGTGACTCTGTCCATTTTTTCCACATCATTTATCATTTAAGACTTTCACACATTAAAATAAAAACAAAATGCAGTATTATCATACAATACACAGGTATTTCCTTTAATCCGTTCAGATAAGAATGCAACCCATTGTACTTTAATTAGACTTGCATTGCTTTCAAGTGATGGTATTAGAAATAACACTCAGATGAACAAAGCGGAAAAAAAGTTTCTATTGCAAAAACGGAATGGCAAAATCACACACACAACCAATAATGTGTGTACATTGACAAATTTAAAGAACTGATAGCTATTAATTTATGACTTTTCAATGAGCTATTATCACATAATATTTTCCCATCAATTTTAACATATTTTAATAAGAAACTGCCTTTCCCTATGGAGTCACAATTTACTACTTAAAGATGTATTGTGTCTTGAGTAAAATCAAGTATGCTTTCTTTAATACAATATACTCCAATGGATGCTGGCATAATTTTTATGCAAAATTTAAGAGGCATTTTAAACAAAGTATAATAAGCCAATCTAATATATACTATCAAACACTGATATCGTACTAATTATAACACAATGTCAAATACTGCAGAATCAAACATTGTCCTAAGCTCCTAGGCACTGGCGATGTTACCTAGGTAGTTAATGAGAGATCTGCAAGCAAAGTTCAGAGAGCACTAAAGAGTCCATATTGTCTTAAGTATATAACAATTCTAAGTTTTGTATTTTGCTTTTGAACCTGATTAAACTATTCTTAAGTATAAATGATCAGAATATCATAAAAATGTACATATACATGAAATTGTAGCGTAAAATATACACAGATAGAACGGCACATGCTCACACTCGAAATATGTCTTTTTGGTAATCAATTGTCTAATTGGACATTCTTTATTAAATCAAACAACAACATTCAATTCTGAAAAATGAAAAAAATATGACACTACTGGCCTCATAAAAGAGGCCAAAAACACGTCTTGATGATTTATATATATTTGCAAATCAAGACATATTAATGCTTTTTTAAAAAGATGTACTGTCTATTGGAACCCATGAACATCACTCAAGCCTTTGTGACATGCATTTTTTACAGATGCTGCAATTAAGCAAGGTGTATTAAGTAAATGTTCAGGCATAAGAAATAATACAATTCTCTCATCAGCACATTTTCACTTGGAAGTTCAGAAATAAAAATGAAAAGCTTACTGAGACCCAGCCTCCAACATTACTTAGTAAAAAAAAAATGCATTTTCAGAAAAAAAAAATCTATTCTAAATCCTGCAAATACCTAATGTTTGCAGATCTGAAATGACACAGTATATGACAGTCCTAATTCTTCCCTTGCTGGCACATGATCTTCTGCAACAAAACATTTGTTCCTCTTAGAACAAAAACTATCTACTTCAATGAAAACTATCAATTCATGCATGATGAACATGTTTTAATTTTTTTTTAATAGAAAAGACTGCATTATATCAAATGTTATGATAATGTATTATCCACACCGAGGAACTGAAAATTCAGCATATATATAATTAAATACAGTCATTTTAGAGAAAAGTGGTGTGTTTGAAATGCTATGGTAAGACATTGGCTGTCATCCAAACATGATACTGACAACCCTAATCCAGTAAAATTAATGACATTTATAAACTGGCATATATATCACAATTATAGTCACCATTAATCAACAGATTCACAATAATCAGGAAATCAATAAAAGCAAATCACATAATCTGTATTTTTGTAATTGCATATTTTCATTGGACCTGTTTCTCTATAATCAGCTCTATGTTGGATCCTCTGTATTTTTTTTTTGTTTCTCATTATTTTTGTAAGCATTTTTTAAACACTTGATATTATTTCCTAGAATACAGAAATATCTCAGTATGCTGCAGGTAAATAAGGACAGGTGCTACAAGAATAATTTGCTAAATTCTACTACAATTTCAATGTTTTGCAAGAAAAGTATGCATTATCATTTATGAATTAACATACTGTACATTTCTTATGTCCTTCTGGTGCATGTTCCATATACTCCATACTACAAAAATGGCTGATCTATTTTGATCCCATCCCATTTGTAAAAATAGCAGACATTTCAAATGATAGAAATTAATTTCTGTTGAATGTTAGAGTTAACTAGTTAGAAGGAGGTGATAAGCCACCTGGGAAAGCCAAGGGAAATCATCAAAACAATTAAAAAACGAAAATTAGAATATTTCGGACATGTGATGCGACACCCAGAAAAATACGGCATACTCCATTTAATCCTCCAGGGAAAGATTGAAGGCAAACGAGGTCCAGGTAGAAGAACATCGTGGCTTCAAAATCTAAGGGACTGGTTTGGACAAAACTCAGCAGCACTTTTTCGTGTGGCTGCTGATAAAAACAGGATCGCCAACATGATCGCCAACGTCCGATAACGGATATGGCACAAGAAGAAGAAGTTAGAAGTTAGTTCTGTTCCAAGAAGTAATCTCTCTGTAAAATAGCCAAAGTCACACTATTGTCTGCTTTACATTTGCAACCGGACAAGAATACTATATGGCAGAATTTAGACAAAATTCTCAAGTCAAAACCTTTTTCAAGCCATCCAAGGTACACATTTTAAAACTGCATTTCTTTACTATATTTAAAGTGACAGCATTGAAGAAGGCTGCAAAAAAAAAAAAAAAAGGAAATGTACTAGGCAGATATGAGAACTCACCCTGAATGCCAGTTATGCAGATATGGCACACTTTAATATAATAAACTGATTAGTGCTTTCAGAAACTAACCAGAAAAAAAATTTAGATTCACATTAAATTTTTACCAACGTGATGAATAACAAGTCAGCCCTGAGAACAAGTGAAATTAAGTGTACTGAAGTGTAAGAGCAATCATGTTGGATGCCTTTTTTTTTCTATTTTATTGAAATTGGTCAAATTTTCTGCTCTTAATAGTTTGAGACTGATTTCCAACCAACAAAATCCTGTAAGCATAAATTTGATGACACAATGTTTGTAATGAGAAATTGCATGGACAATTGCCACTTAGGAAATGTTTCTTCACAATATGAATTATTTAACACATAGTATGTATGTATGATCTTATACTAAGAAAAAAATTATATATGAATACCAACAAAAAAATCCCCTTTCCTCCTAGAAAAATGGGGGGAGGGTTGTGGAAATTAGCACACTTTCATATTTTCATACTCTAAAGAAGCACAAGTGGGTGAACAGTAGTGATAAAACTATACAGTTTATCTAAAAAGAGAGATCTTAAACAATAACAATACAAATTAAAAGGCACATGTATAATATATACCAAAATCATAAAATAAAATGACAAATTGATAGGAAATAACTTATTGATCTGATGCATATTGTATTTGATAATTCTTCAATGAGGTCTCCAATTTGTTTTTCATTAGGAAACTCAACTCACATATTATAAATATCGGCAAAAGATGAATATCTAAATATTATTTTCTAAAAAGATGTGGGATACTAGCATAATATACAGAAGGAAAAATCTAAAAGCTGTTATTTTTTCAGTTATAAAACACAATGTAAAAAATATAAATTGTATGAATGCATTGTATATGATTTCTAATTCAAACCTAACAGTTGTGATTTTCACAAGAAAGTTACATAACTTTGAAATGCAGTAATTATATTGTTTTACATAGGACAGAGAGGACTAGTGGACAACACTCTTTCGAAATTTCAACAGCCAACCTTCTAAAATGCAGTTCCCTTATATTCCTTTGTGTTTCACCCAGTAATACATTTTACCCATATTTTCATTGGATTTTGACATGCTCAGAAAGGGATTTCATTAGTCTTGTTCACATTCCTGTCACCAAATTGCCATCAATTAGCTTCAGCTAACAAAACAAAGTAAAATTCAAGACATGTCAATAAATAGAATGAGGATCTCCAAACATCTTGGGGATAAAATAAAGAATAAATAATCACACAAATAATTGATATGTATCTGCACAAATAAAACATCAGCCTTTTTTAATCACCCGTACAATTCACAATACATGTTTTAATATTGTCCTACCCTATCAGTGGAAACCAATAAAAACCTGAATAATCTATTAAGCAAGATCCAAGATGTTTTTGAAAAACAAGAAGAGAAAGGAAGAGGAAAACAGAGCTAAGATTTTCAAACTATAAACTAGGTTTTTTTTTGATACCTTGCTCTATACTGCCACTCCTGATGGGAACTTGTGGAAGCTGTCTCCCCTTACGACTGAAGGACATATCTGCTGGAGATGACTGCATGGGACTTCCCGGTTGGCGCATTCTGCAGGAAAAAAATTAACATTAAATGGGGTGGTGTCACACACAACCAAATCAATGAGATATTACAAATATAAAAATGTTAAAATATCAAAAAGAAAATATACACAAACTATCTTATTATTTATGTTCTTAATATGAGAAGTCTATTGGTTAAGGTACCAGGCTAAAAAGCAGGAAACGGTGAGTTCAAGTGCCACCTTAGCCATGAAAGCCAGCTGGGAGACTTTGCGCCAGTCTCTTTCTCTCTCTCAGCCCAACCCACCTCACAGGTTTGTTGTTGTGGGGAAAACAGGAAGAGGAAGATATATTGGATATGTACGCTGTTTTGTGAATCTGTAAAACTATCAGTAAAAAGCTAAGCATTTGACAATTTTGTGGAATTAATAATATTATTATATACATAGGTCAACTCTTTTATAAACAGAATGTCAGAACATGTTCACACATCACCAGGTGAGAAATCTCTGAGAATATGATTCCAGGATATTCTTTCAGCTGGTATTTATACCACCTCATTTCTACGTTTCCTCTTTTGAAATCATTGCTTTGTTAAAATCATGGACATAATTACCGTAATATTGCAATTCTCAGTGTGGTATCATTAGGAAACTGCAATAGCCCATATCATTTAAAAGATAACAGAAAGTATTACAGAGAAATTACAAAAAAAAGGCCGTTTAAATAGAGATCTATAATCAAAAACTATCATTTGCTTCTTCTGATACATGAATGAAAACGACCTTCCCAAGATCCAAAATCATTCCTGACAGATAATGCACTCTTCTCTCTCAGTGTGATAGCCCTACCGTTGTAAGAAACACAGAATTTTGCAGATTTCTCTCTGCCTCTGCAATGAGGGAAATGCATAATACAAGAACATATCCTTCATCGAATTATCAAGGTTTTGCACTGAAGTATTGCAACATTCTGAAAATTTTCATAGGAATCCACTGTGCATCAGAATGATGTGAAAACAAAACACAACCAGATTTTAATTAGTAATCCCTTTGTATGATATAAATAATTCAATGAATGGAAGATAGACTGAGCAAAGGATGTAAGAAAACATTAGATATCATGGAGGTAGTGGTTCACATCTGTGAGGCAGAAACAAATCTTGTGCAGTATATTTAATAGCAACCTAATCAAAAATAGAGAAATTGGAGGCGCTTCCAACAAGCACTGTGTCCTGCTGGTACTGCATTTATGAGAAAAACATAGGAAGGAGAGATCTTTGAGATAATACACAATTCCAGACTGTTACTCCTTGTGAGTAGACTGCAAGTAGACAGCAGTTGAGTTATGAGTTGAGTGGCTGGGAATTGAGGAATACCTATTAAGGTCATACTTGTAATGCAGACTTTCAAGGGATAAAAGCATGGCCAAATCTAATTTCTTCAACTCTTTCTGAAGTTTTTTTTTAAAAACTCTACTGTAAATATTAATACCCTTAAGACCAGCAAGGTTTGACTGTATTCATCGGGTGAATTGCTTTTTCCTTGGAAAAAGGGTTTTAAATATGATTTTAAAAGTTCTGGAAAATATTATATTTTGAATTAAACAGTAAAAGGATGCTTAGAATGTGGATTGTAGAAAGTTAACAATGGATTAAGTGTCCAGATGGAATTGAAATGATAGTTTTATAGTTTTGAATTAATTAGAAGAATTCTTCTCATGCAAAAAAGGTGATTGGGGCTTTTTAAGAGGAAATATAGTAATGGGACCTTGAAAGTCTGGCGCTAAAGGGATCTTGAGAACAATAAATTCATCTCATTAAGAAAGAATGAAGCTCAATCTCTGATGGATGTTTTTGCATTTTGGTCTTCAAAATTACTTGATATGATAGATAGATCCTGTATCACTAAAGTTACAAAAGAAGAACAAGCAACAAATTAAGTTGAATATAGATGTAAATGTGTCAAGTAAAGATAAAAATATGGAGAAGATGTTTTGGATATATAAACAAAACTGATGGATATTTCACTAATTAAAAGAGATATACAATTATTAAATCAGAAAAGTGATTTGGATGAATTTATCTCACTAGGTCCATGAAAGAGGCCTGTTGGAGTCCCGAAAGAGTTTATGAGAAGTAATAATAAAAGGACGATTTTTACTTACTGGATGTATATCGAGTTCTGGCACTATATTTGATGGGGTTAAAAATTAACATTGTTAAAAGTTTAGGCAAGGAATACAAGTATGGCTTATTTGATCAAGGTTAAAATAGAAAATTAGTTATATCTGGTTTTTCTTATTGTACTTTTGCTGATAAAGAACAAATGATGAGGATTTTCTACATTTTTGTTCCTTTTTTATATATTTTTCTTATATATTTCTATATTTTTATAATTTGTATTAGTTTTTATTCTTTCTATTTGTAATTCTTAATTAAAATATTTTAAAATAGAAAAGTTGGCACTGAACCTCCAGAAACTAGGTGGTGAATAATGGCCTGATACTAGAATGATTTCTAGATCTTGACTGAGTATGATATTTCCCCCTAATTATGATTGGGAGATCACGGATTCTTAGAGCTGGAAGTCCCCTTCTAAAAACACATGGCAGTAGCACCGTTGAAATAACACAATGATTAATACAAGTCTTCATGAATTTTTTAAGGATAAATCTTGTCAGACTAAGTGCATGTCATTTTTGCCAACTGAGAAAATGATGTGGTTGTTATAAATCCCAATTTCAGCAAAGTAATTCATGATATTCCAGTTAGCAAGCTCATTAACATGGGCTGGGTAGCAGATTTATTACGCCAATGCATAACTGGACTGAAAACCATATTCTCAAAATGTTCATCAATAGTTTCAGCTACAAATACCAAGTTCTTCATTAGAAAACAGAAATCAAATATACTGGTAAAGGATGAAATGGAGAACACATAGCTTGATAAGGTTTGTGCAAAAAGGTTCTTAGAATAGTATTGATCAAGCTGAATGAAAGTCAGCAGAGGGATTTATCTACTTAAACAGCAAATGAATTTTTAAGCCACCTCAACAGAAATAGCATTTCCAAATTAAAGAAAGTAATAGTTCTACTCTATTTTTTATTGCTTAGATCCACTGTATCTGGTTTTAGAATGAATTCAGTGGCGCTAAAGGAATTATGTAAGTTTAGTGTTGAGAAAAAAATGACTTGGGGAGATGTCTTAGCTCTTTTGAACTACCTGAAGGTTTCACACTGAAAAAGATCAAGACTTGTTCTCTGTTGATCTGAATGGAAGGGACAGAATAAGCATCCTGTCAGTCTGTGTTAATTCACTGCATATATCTTCTAGTCGAGGAGATATAAAGTGAAGTAACCTGCCTTAGGTTAACAATCCATCTAAGGGTGATAGTGGTTTTTTCTTCTAAACTAGATCATAAGCTTTTTGCTTTGCTTCTCTTAGTGAGCAAACCTTGTTTTCTGTCCTCTGTGAGCAGTTCAATAAACTTGGCTCAAGCAGATCTTATGGTCTCTACTCATCAATCAGATAGGAGGATTTTACTCGTTAGCTGTACCACTGGTTTGCTTTGACAGAGCACATACCGTTTCAACTTTAAAGAGAATGGAATTGGACAAAGAAATTCCACTTTGCTTGAACAGAAATGCTACCCATTGGTGCAAAACCACTAATGCAACCAATTCTTAGCAAGCTCCCTGCTGTCTTTCATGATATAATTATATCATTACTACAAGACCAAAATTACTGTGCTTTGCTGTCATGAAGAGATTCCATGCCAATTGCACTTCAAGGCTCCATGATTGCTTGCTGTAAATAGACCATATGTTAGAGCAGGTAAATTTAAAACTTGTGAACTTCAACTTCCAGAATTCCCCAGCGGGGTGGGGAATTCTGGGAGCTGAAGCTGAAGTCCACAAGACTTAAAGTTGCCAAATTTGGAAACCCGTGTTAGAACTATTTAGCAACAGCTTTGAGAAACCTTAGTAACAAGTCTTTGACAGACTTTATATATTTAAGATTATGACATGTGCATAATCATATTAACAAAAAGTTTATTATGACCAAGGATCAGCATGACATGTGCATAAAAGACAATAACATCAGCAAACTGATCAAGGCACGTTGTTGTTACGTACTGTAGAATCCATCTTACCTTTCTGTTTCTAATGCAGAGCTTTTCCTAATCTGTTTTTGGGTGCTATATCTTTCCACCTTTCTGGGATGCCTGTGAAATGAGATGCCAAAAAAAAATGAAAAAGAGAAGCAAGCAATCTAGAAACCAGAAAATTGCAAAGGTTTAGCTTGATTTCTTGCAAATGGAAGTGCAAAAACTTTTAGGTTTTCTGAATGACTACTAGTAATGGACTTTGGAGAAAATGCCATCTGCACCCACCTTACTTTAACCCAACAAATTCAGTTTCTCTGGTATATATAATGCTAACCAGGCTGACTATTTCTCAAATGCTAAACAATTCTAAAATTGAAGCCATAGAAAACTTCTATTATTGGTTAAAATCCAACATTAAGGGTCTGGTAGAAAAGTGAAATTCTCCTGGGTTAAAATTCAAAAAGATGCTCTTGTATTATATGTATGCAGTATAAAACAAAAATAGCACAATTTAACTGTGATAATAAAAACATTGCTAATCAACTTGGGCAGATATATGTGATTTGAATTACACATTGATACGCTATAGAAAACACATTTGCATGTGGTAACTGTGAGACCTATTATATATTTTGGCTATAGCTTATGCAACTAAACAATAAGAATGTATGAATGTTACATTTGGATGTTAAATTCAAGTAGAGTCAAACCATCTGATCACAACTCAGCTGGGTTCTTGCTATATTAAACTGTCAACATCTTATGCCCTCTGGCTGTTTTTAAGAGATACTAAGATTATATAGTCAGGCTGATTTCAGAATTTGAAAAAAGAAAGAAAAAGAAAGAGGAAAAAATCGATGCTGCTTCCATTGAGCTGTTTAAAAGTATTACCCCCTATGTATTTTTCACTGACCACGGGTATTCAGAGCAACGTTAT